AAGAAAAACACAGACTAATTTTCATTTTTGGGTGAACTAACCCTTTAAGGTCATGGATTTTGGTAACCTGTCTAGTTCCCTGATGAGGGCTTGGACTCGATGTTCCTGTCACAGTTGCTGTTCCTCTTGCAGTTTAAAGTGAGGCTTGAAGGATTGGATCTGTCTGACAAAAATTTGGTGGGTTCAGAGATCAGATCAAGGGCTAAGAGAGTGCTGGGCTCTTGGGAATTGATCATCTGACCATTTTACATCACAGCTGATATACTTCACATGTTTTCTTGGTAGAACAGAAGGCATGTGAAGTTAAGGGGAAACAGACTGACTATGACAACATATACCTTTCAGACACATTAGAACTATGAAACACTTTGTAGAGAAACTGATGGCTCTCCTCTTGGCAAGGCTTATTTAGGAAAACTGATCATGGGAAGCATCAGAATGATTCAAAACATGTATTTCAGCATTCATTCTCTTTTTCCCTCTAACAATCACAGCATGTTCCTCTATGATTTATTTACATCTCTGAGTCACTGCGAGATAAGGGAGCTTTACTCAAGCTTTGTGTACTGCAAACTGTTTTCAGGACATGCTGTCTTTCATATGTGACTTTGTAACAAAACATGTAATTTGATTTCATTGACAATGCAGAACCACTTCAGTTATCAAATAGATTCTTCAGATAGGCTTTGTTCATTTGTCAGCTCACCGGCCTTTACCTAATGCTAATATTTTGTGCATAATTTCATACTAATAAAAAGGCAGTTACTTTGTGAAGATTAATGCGATTCTAAAATGACAAAGTATTAAATAACAGGGTTGCATTATTTTGCTTATTCCTTTTAATAAAGGAAAAAAAAGTTTTAATATCTCTTAATATGATTATTAAAAGCTTATTAGATGTACAGTCGATCACAAAATTTAGAAACATTTATGGTGTCGTCTGCTGCTCATCTTAGGAACCACACTCAGTCTTGGGTTTTGATGCCAGGAGATACACTTTATTACATCATCAATGAGAATAAAGCGGAGATGCTCTCAGCAGCGAAACATCTGATAACTGGATATTTAAATGGCTATATTCATAATGATTATACTTGATTAATTCCTATTTGGATTAATACAAATCTTCTACATTCCCCTGTCTGAGACTTTCTCTTTACCCAGAGTGCTACTTCATAACTTAGTTGTCTTAGTTAACACTACCCAGTGACTAATTAAGTCACTCTGTTTTATTACCAATGACTAAATGATGCAGTATCACGGTTTTGGAGCATCAGGACCAAACGTCTCCCCCCTCACTTGACTAGGAGGGAGTAAAATATCCAGTCTCCATAATTTCTTATTTCTATAGAAAACAATGTTATAAGCATGAGCGTGCAACTGGTTCAGCGCTTGCCTGTGGTTTTCACAGTTACGTATAAAAAAACATAAAAACACATTTAAAACATCAGACATAGAATATCACAGGATTAGCATAGTTTTCTTGTCTTTTTTCTTTTCTTTCCGTCTTTTCCGTGGGAACTTTAGTCCTATTTGGATTAATACAAATCTTCTACATTCCCCTGTCTGAGACTTTCTCTTTACCCAGAGTGCTACTTCATAACTTAGTTGTCTTAGTTAACACTACCCAGTGACTAATTAAGTCACTCTGTTTTATTACCAATGACTAAATGATGCAGTATCACTCTGGTTTTGGAGCATCAGGACCAAACGTCTCCCCCCTCACTTGACTAGGAGGGAGTAAAATATCCAGTCTCCATAATTTCTTATTTCTATAGAAAACAATGTTATAAGCATGAGCTTGCAACTGGTTCAGCGCTTGCCTGTGGTTTTCACAGTTACGTATAAAAAACATAAAAACACATTTAAAACATCAGACATAGAATATCACAGGATTAGCATAGTTTTCTTGTCTTTTTTCTTTTCTTTCCGTCTTTTCCGTGGGAACTTTAGTACAGTGGTCCAGATGATGCCAGGTTGTGTTTCCTCCCACTTTGACTGCTGCTGGAGTAGCTCTCACCACTTCGTATGGTCCCTTTCTCCTGGGCTCATTCCATTTTCTTTTTTCCTGTAAATAGATAGCTCTATGTATGGCAGTTAATTTCTTCATATATGATCGAAGTTCCATTTGTAATTGCTCTAGAGGCGGTCCTTTGTAGGAACCTCTACAATATGACACAGCATGGGTCGACCCGTAAGCATTTCATGCGGTGTTAAGTGCGTGTTTCTGTTAGTTTGCATGCGATAGCTCATTAGTGCAAGAGGTAATGCATCAATCCAATTAAGTTTTAGTACTTTCACATATTTTGTTTATTTTGGCCTTGATAGCTCCATTAACCCTTTCGACGCACCCTTGTGCCTGTTTTATTCTTAATTGTTGCAATACTTGTTTTACAGTTTTTAGTATAAATGCCGACCCATTTTCTGAACTTATTTCTGATGGTATTCCAAATCTAGGAATTAGTTCTCTTGTTAGAAATTTAATTACTGTTCCTGCTCCCAGATCTGCTGATGGTACTGCCTCCACCCACCTGCTAAATCTGTCTATGGTCACAAGCGTGTATCTTTTTCTTTGTACTCGCTTTATCATATCCACATAGTCCTTTACCAAATGCTTAAAGGACCCTTCTGGTACTGGTATATGGCCTATTGGTGTTGCTATCCCTTTCCTTACGTTGTATTTGGCACAAACTTCACATGTGGACAAAAAATAATCCACTATTGCATATAAATAAGGAGACCCTTGCTGTTTAATTTTCCTTATCACTGCATTTAAATAAGGAGACCAATATCCTTGCTGTTTAATTTTCCTGATCACTTCCCCCCTTGCGCAATGGTCAAAACCATGCACATCTGCAAAAATGCTTAAAGGACCCTTCTGGTACTGGTATATGGCCTATTGGTGTCGCTATCCCTTTCCTTACGTTGTATTTGGCACAAACTTCACATGTGGACAAAAATTAATCCACTATTGCATATAAATAAGGAGACCAATATCCTTGCTGTTTAAGTTTCCTGATCACTTCCCCCCTTGCGCAATGGTCAAAACCATGCGCATCTGCTATAAGAATATTCAAAAGTGAAGTAAGTGCAACCATGTTTCCTTCATGTGTACGCCAGATCTCTTGTGAGTCTTTTTTAGCTCCCCTTTGGTGCCACATTGATTGTTCATAGGGGCCTGCCTGTTTCTGAATTCGAATTATATCCTCTAATTGAGGTTGAGGTTCGATAAGTACTACAGGTGCTAATACTGCTACTTGACACCCTGAAGCTTTTCAGCTTCTATATTTGCTGCATTGTTTCCCTTAATGACATTTCCGTTCTTGTGTTCCTGACGTTTTATTATTGATAGTCTTTTTGGAAGCATAGCAGAAATTAATTGCCATATTTGTTCTATTCTTTCTTTCTTTATTTTTATTTTTCTTTATTTATATATTAAAAAATAATCCACTATTGCATATAAATAAGGAGACCCTTGCTGTTTAATTTTCCTTATCACTGCATTTAAATAAGGAGACCAATATCCTTGCTGTTTAATTTTCCTGATCACTTCCCCCCTTGCGCAATGGTCAAAACCATGCACATCTGCAATAAGAATATTCAAAAGTGAAGTGCAACCATGTTTCCTTCATGTGTACGCCAGATCTCTTGTGAGTCTTTTTTAGCTCCCCTTTGGTGCCACATTGATTGTTCATAGGGGCCTGCCTGTTTCTGAATTCGAATTATATCCTCTAATTGAGGTTGAGGTTCGATAAGTACTACAGGTGCTAATACTGCTACTTGACACCCTGAAGCTTTTTCAGCTTCTATATTTGCTGCATTGTTTCCCTTAATGACATTTCCGTTCTTGTGTTCCTGACGTTTTATTATTGCTAGTCTTTTTGGAAGCATAGCAGAAATTAATTGCCATATTTGTTCTATTCTTTCTTTCTTTCTTTTTATTTTTCTTTATTTATATATTTTTTTCTCTCTCTGGATCATATATCATTGTGCAATGAAATTCTGATTTTGGGTAGCTGTGCTTCAGGATTTTGTGCTTCAATATACTTTATCCACTTAATGACTGTCTGTCTCACATATTGTTCTATCTGTCCTATCCAATAGACATTTGCTTTTCGGCTCTGCAACCACCATTTTTGTTTCTGTGCCTATTGCTTCGATATATATTTCTTCTGGAGAACACCAAATTTGTCTCCCTAATTTACATAATGCATCTCTTCCTAACAAATTGATAGGAGCTCCCCTTTGGTGCCACATTGATTGTTCATAGGGGCCTGCCTGTTTCTGAATTCGAATTATATCCTCTAATTGAGGTTGAGGTTCGATAAGTACTACAGGTGCTAATACTGCTACTTGACACCCTGAAGCTTTTTCAGCTTCTATATTTGCTGCATTGTTTCCCTTAATGACATTTCCGTTCTTGTGTTCCTGACGTTTTATTATTGCTAGTCTTTTTGGAAGCATAGCAGAAATTAATTGCCATATTTGTTCTATTCTTTCTTTCTTTCTTTTTATTTTTCTTTATTTATATATTTTTTTCTCTCTCTGGATCATATATCATTGTGCAATGAAATTCTGATTTTGGGTAGCTGTGCTTCAGGATTTTGTTCTTCAATATACTTTATCCACTTAATGACTGTCTGTCTCACATATTGTTCTATCTGTCCTATCCAATAGACATTTGCTTTTTGGCTCTGCAACCACCATTTTTGTTTCTGTGCCTATTGCTTCGATATATATTTCTTCTGGAGAACACCACATTTGTCTCCCTAATTTACATAGTGCATCTCTTCCTAACAAATTTATAGGAGTCTGATTTGATACCAGAATGGGCATTGTTATACTTTGATTTTTTGTTTGTCAACACACTGGAGCTGTCATTGGAATTTATTGCATTTTTCCAGAGAATTCTATTTTCTTTGTAAAAATTTTCAGACAAGGGGAGATGTGAGGCATATTTTAAATTTAAACAGGTATAGACAACACCTTTGTCTAGCAACATGGGTGTGTGTTTTCCTTATATACTAATTTGCATAATATGCTCTTGATCAGCTTTCGTATGTTAAAATTGGAAGCTGACTCTCCCCTCTAGGATTCTCTGGGCACCCCTAATAGCCTGAATTGGGACCTCCCCAAGGGTTAACTGGGCCCTGTGAAGTACCTCGGTTAGGCTGTTGCCAGCTCTCCCCCCTTCCACCCTGAGGGAACTGCCTGTGAAGTACCTCGGTTTGGCTGTTGCCAGCCCTCCCCCCTTCCACCCTGAGGGTACTGTTGCCATGGATACGTGGGACAGTCAATTTTATTATGTCCAGGCTGTCCACATGCCCAGCACACACCTGGAGGGCCAGCAAACGGTTTGCCTCTTCCTCTCTGGCTTCTCTGTGTTTGTTTTTGTCTCCATCTCATGGTTCCTGGCTGTTGAGCATAAACATTTATTATAGGTACAGGGATCGAGTGTGCGTTTGGAGGGACTACTGTAGGTGGGCTTGACAGAATATTTGGTTGCGGAGCATTTACTGGAGACATCATTGTCATTTGTTCTGCTTCTTCTTTCTTTATTGAAGCTTGAATCTTTTCCTTGTTTTTGTTTGTCAGTTCTTCAAGCTGTAAATGAGTTAGTTTTCGCTGTAGCTCTTTCTCTTGGCTCTTGAGCTTTTGCTCATTTTTTCTGTGTTGTTCCACAGTATGAGACACATGGTCACAAAACTCTTTGTGTGTTTTAGAGTTTAAACCAACCACATCTTCCAGCCTGCTTTTTACGGCTGGCGGCATAGCATCAATCACAGCCTGTCTAAACAATGTTGCCATTAATGGGTCTCCTTCTGGATTCCCTTCGGTCTCTTGTTTCCACCTTTTCAGCTGTCTCTGTACATATGTGGTTGGATTTTCTTATGTACAGCTGTCTCTGTACATATGTGGTTGGATTTTCTTTGTCCTTTTTCTCTGCACGCAGTGACTGCCACACTGCTGGACGGAATGCATCAAAAACAGTTCCATCCATATTATGAGAGTTCATTGCTCTGTCCAGAGTAGTTGTTTGAAGAATTTCATCCATCTTTGTCCCTCCTATTATTTTAGCCAGCAACACTTTAATGTCCCTCACAGCCAAAAGTTTGCCCATAGTTTCTTCTTCAAATACTCAAATCCATTTTCCAGCTTCCCCTGAATTTATGGGAGGCGAGTGACCAGCCCATTGAGGTCCTGTGGGGCCCAGGGGACTTATTGTCCCTGCGTACCCTTGATTAAAATTGGGAGTTGTGCAGCCAGTGATCTGAGTGCCCCCTTTTCTCTGCCCTATTCCCATTTTCCGCTATCAAATAACTCCTCTCCTTCATTCACATCCTCTGTACTTTCAAACAACTTACTTCTCCCTCTTTTCAATCTATTTACCTCTTGTATCTTTTTCTGATTCTTTAATTTTCTCTGCTATTTCTTCTAACACTTCCTTAAATCTTGTCCTATCTTGGTTTGTTTTCATCTTCTCTAATGCTATGCGTGCCTGTCTATAACAATCCATCCGTAAATATCCTTCACTTTCTTTTCTCTCTTGCCTCTTTGTTTTCACAGCTAGTTCCTTTTTTTTCTTCTTCCAACTCTCAGCTTTACTGGTCCTTCTATTTGCATTTCTCCAGTTTAATTTCTACGGTTCCCTTGAGGATTGGGACCTCTCCCTCTATGGGCAAATAGGGGGGTGGCTCAGATACTAATCTTTCCTTTTTCTTCGTATTTTTGTCTGCCTCTTTTAATATTTTTCTTGCCTGTTTTATATTTTTTAATATGTCCTCCCCTTTTTTTCATTTTTTTTTCACAGCCCCTTTGTCTCCAGATTTTTTTGTTCTCTTTTGCCATTTGTTTGATATCTTGTTTATTAACTCTTTACTCAGTGGTTATTTTAATCCTAATATTTCCACTGGAGTTACTGCCATATTTTTTTTATTATAATTCAATTTTAATTTAACTCTTTTAACCAATTTCTCCTAATTTTTGTCTTTATTCTGTCTGATGCATTTACCCTTTTTTGTATTTATTGATAGTCTCAAAGTATTTTACAATCACTCAGTATGTAATCTTTTATAAAAAATAATTCTTTATATATCTTTACTTCTCTTTACTATTTTTTCCCCACTTATAATTATTTTTAATATACTTATTTAACTTGCTTCCTTGATCTCACTTCTACTGCACTGATCTCTGAAAATGTTCTCCTTCTCTTCCACACAGACACCAAACATGCAAAAGCCTATAAAAGATCTTGATTCAATTTTTATTGATATTATTTTCCTAAACACATTCACACTGCTCATCCCTTTATCTAGACAGGGCTCATCATTCATTAATTTTCCCTTTATTTATAGGAATACTGCATTCATATTTTTTCCCTTTATTTCAGGGCTAATCATTTATGCATCCCTCTCGGGTGCGGCACGAGCTGCGTCCACACTCTGCCAGGAAGGGATGCGCAGCTAGTACCCACCCAATATGGAATTTATTTATTTCCTCATACATTCACCATTAACACAGACCAGTGCATGCAATGTATTTCTGTCTGCACCATCCAGTTTCAATTTAGGTCACCTATCAAGGCCTTCCCAATATTAAACAAAATCTGTGCATGCTGTTATTTCTTCTGGCATCAAAACCCCTTTTATTTTATTTTATTTTATTTTAGTTATTTATTTATTTTTAATTCTGGAAGAACAGATTTTAAGTGTCCTTACCACTAAGAGCATACCAGCAAACAACACACACCAATTATATAAGCAAAGATGCTTACCGTTCGGTGGCCACCGTTGTTGTGTGTTACTCGCCAAAAGCCAGCCCAAAGTGGTCGTCAATTTGTGGTGTCGTCTGCTGCTCATCTTAGGAACCACACTCAGTCTTGGGTTTTGATGCCAGGAGATACACTTTATTACATCATCAATGAGAATAAAGCGGAGATGCTCTCTGCAGCGAAACATCTCCAGAATTTCTTTGTGTCTTCCTTTTTATACATTTGGATTTGGAGGCGTGGGGTATATATTCCATACAGTTTTCCATACATAGAATGGTTCCTTTGTGCATACAATTCTCCCAAGAGAGAAAGACCCCCTCTCTAGTCTTGTTATGGTAAAGAAAGCCCCCACTTATGTTTTTCCAGATGTTTCTTATCTGAGGTCTGTACATTCTGCCACGTAGGCCTGTTTCTACACACAGGCATATGGGATTTTAATGGAAGAATAACTGGATATTTAAATGGCTATATTCATAATGATTATACTTGATTAATTCCTATTTGGATTAATACAAATCTTCTACACATTCTTTTGCGATTTGCCAAACAAATTCTTGCATGAATCATTCAACATTTTGGGGAGGTTAAACAGCTGTCAGAGGTTAAACTAATGTTAGTTATGAAATTTTTGAAGGCACACTTTATCAAGACTTGACAGAATTCTTCAGAATTGCACAATGATTGCTGATATTGCAAAGAAGAATTAGAGACAACCTGAAAGAGTTAAAGATTTTAATACATACGAGTCAAATGAGAGAAGTCCAAAGATTTACTGTCCGACAAATATGTCTCTCCAAAAAAGCAAAGAAATTAATGTAAATATATCTGAATTCCTTGTATTTGTGTTATTTTATCTGTGCACAGGGCTTACTCACTACCCACGTTCAGACAAGGCTGAGCTGATCATCAATCCGGAGGACGATGATACCTACAGGACATACATCAAAGCCATGAAAGAATTCTTAGAATCCTATGACACAGAAAAACAGGGGGACCTAATGACGTTTGAGGACTGTGGAGGTACTAGATTACACATGTGTCTTCTGTTACTTGAGTCCCAAATGAATATAGATGTTTTCTCAGCAGGATCAAGGTTTTCATTAGCCTACCAAATGTAATATTCACAAACTAAATACTAGAAAATATTATTAATTATTCCACACACTGTTTTTATACTTGTATATGTTTTCAATTATCTCTTTTTCACGTCCCTTTGAGAAAATTATAATTATATATACCTTTACATATGTAGAATTTTATATATATATATAAATGATATTTTAATAATTTACCTCTAAATTATTATTATTATTATCTTAATATTTATTTCTTTTCTTTCTTTTCTATGTTGACAGATCAACCCGGGAAATACAAGAACAGAGGCGATCTAGAAAGTGACATGGGTGTCAGAAAGGCATGCCAGTTTTCGAAGTCTTTCCTAGGACCCTGTTCTGGCATTGAAGATCGTAATTTTGGATTCTCAGAGGGGAAGCCCTGCTTGATTGTCAAGCTCAACAGGATTGTAAACTTCAGACCTAAGGTTTGTTAAATACATGCAACAATATTCACAAACTGTTTGTAGGATCTTGCATTTCTGTAGACTATGAATTAATTGACTAAAGGTTCATTTTTATAATACATCAGCAAATTTCTTGTCTTTACAGTGTTATGTCAATGCTTATATAAATACATATATACCGTACATACTATTATGTATATGTATACTATGTTTATTTATTGTTATTATTGTTGTTGTATTTGTTTATTATTCTTTATTTTATTGTTTTTCTTAAAATGTTTAATTTTTATTATTTATATTTTATTTACTACTAATAATAGTAGTAATAAAATATATTGTTATATTATTATTATTATTTGTTGTTGTTGTATTTATTTACTTTTTATTATTTTATCATTTTGCTTACAAAGTATTTTATTATTAATCATTACTTGATAATTTTATTGATAATATTGATCATTGCAGAAAAGTTACCATAGTATTTTTTTTAACCTGTATCATGTTGCATGCAAGTCTCATGTTGTTGTTGTTTTTTTCTTTTTTCTTTTAGCCACCAGCATCAAATGAAAGCATTCCAGAAGAGGCAAAGCACAAAGTCCAGCCCAACGTGATTCCCATCCACTGCACAAACAAGGTGAGCGATCATTTCGCTGCTTGACTGAATACTCTCATTTGCTCTGTAAAATAGTAAAATGGTTGCTAACTGGCAGCATATATTCTTTGGTCTTCTCTGAAACACCTGCAGAAAGAAGAGGATGCAGGTAAGCTCGGTGAAGTGAAGTACTACGGTATCGGAGGAGGCTTTCCTCTTCAGTATTACCCCTACTATGGGAAACGCCTGCACTCTCATTACCTGCAGCCCCTGGTGGCCATCCAGTTCGTCAACATCAGCCTGAACACGGAGATCCGCGTGGAGTGCAAAGTGTTTGGGGAAAACATTTATTACAGCGACAAGGATCGCTATCAGGGACGATTCGATGTTAAAATCGGTGTCATGACCAAATCAACATGACCTCTGAACGGAGTACCTCCACTCTCTCCCTATTTAAAGGCAAACTAAGGCCCCTCTTCTGACTTGAGATACAAAGGCAGCAGAGAGAAGTTTCCACCGGTCTTCCACAGTGTTTAACCGAGGGGATGTTTTTTGAATGTACAAGTGTCTCATGTCAGAAAGAGGCCTCATTTTAGTTTAGGAGAGATTAATTAAAAAATAAAATAAAATAAACAAAAAGTGAATAAAAAATTATTTTAAAACACTAGTCTAAAACAACATACCATCTTACACATGTGGGACCTAACATTGTCTGTACTCTTTACTTCAAGCTTTCTGCTTTCAGGTTAGGGTTAGAATGTAAATGCCTGGAGGATTAGCCATAGCATAAAATATTTATTCTACTACCGAATAAGAAGTGTCCACGATCAAAGGGGCATGTTGTTTTACTGTAAATTACATTTCCTCTACCGATGTAGCCAGCACTGTTTTGTCCCTCTTGTATTGTATTGTTGCCTTGTGTGATTTCTCTATATTTAAAACGTGCACAGTAGTTGCATATGTAGGTTGCTTTGAGCCACGCCATGTGTGTGATTAAGCTTCATTTGTCAAACGTGCCTACATACATGTATAGTTACTTAATGGAAATACACTGGCCTCTTAACATTGCCTTTCGGGGGTATTGATGTTCTATCTTTGCATCTTTTAGGTGTATTAGGTGGGTGTTGAACCTTTTTTTCCACTAAAATCACTACAGTGTATGAGGGGAAGATTGTACTTCTCTTTTAATGATTCGTTTTCTCTGACTGTAGATGTTGCCTTTGGTTTTATGCTGTCATTCACGTGCAGAGGGAACCGCTATACTTCCTCTTCAGTATTACCCCTACTATGGGAAACGCCTGCACTCTCATTACCTGCAGCCCCTGGTGGCCATCCAGTTCGTCAACATCAGCCTGAACACGGAGATCCGCGTGGAGTGCAAAGTGTTTGGGGAAAACATTTATTACAGCGACAAGGATCGCTATCAGGGACGATTCGATGTTAAAATCGGTGTCATGACCAAATCAACATGACCTCTGAACGGAGTACCTCCACTCTCTCCCTATTTAAAGGCAAACTAAGGCCCCTCTTCTGACTTGAGATACAAAGGCAGCAGAGAGAAGTTTCCACCGGTCTTCCACAGTGTTTAACCGAGGGGATGTTTTTTGAATGTACAAGTGTCTCATGTCAGAAAGAGGCCTCATTTTAGTTTAGGAGAGATTAATTAAAAAATAAAATAAAATAAACAAAAAGTGAATAAAAAATTATTTTAAAACACTAGTCTAAAACAACATACCATCTTACACATGTGGGACCTAACATTGTCTGTACTCTTTACTTCAAGCTTTCTGCTTTCAGGTTAGGGTTAGAATGTAAATGCCTGGAGGATTAGCCATAGCATAAAATATTTATTCTACTACCGAATAAGAAGTGTCCACGATCAAAGGGGCATGTTGTTTTACTGTAAATTACATTTCCTCTACCGATGTAGCCAGCACTGTTTTGTCCCTCTTGAAGTGTATTGTTGCCTTGTGTGATTTCTCTATATTTAGAACGTGCACAGTAGTTGCATATGTAGGTTGCTTTGAGCCACGCCATGTGTGTGATTAAGCTTCATTTGTCAAACGTGCCTACATACATGTATAGTTACTTAATGGAAATACACTGGCCTCTTAACATTGCCTTTCGGGGGTATTGATGTTCTATCTTTGCATCTTTTAGGTGTATTAGGTGGGTGTTGAACCTTTTTTTCCACTAAAATCACTACAGTGTATGAGGGGAAGATTGTACTTCTCTTTTAATGATTCGTTTTCTCTGACTGTAGATGTTGCCTTTGGTTTTATGCTGTCATTCACGTGCAGAGGGAACCGCTATACTGAAACTTTGATTTTTTTATTTTTTTTTTACAACTTTGTTTTCTTCCTTGCCTTGTCATTCTTCTTCTTATTGAAGACGTCACATGGCGTGGTTGAATGTTCTAAATTTCGATATTTATTAAGTGGTGACCTTAAATATTCTGTTCTCGCACATGTTCATGTTCTCGTCATGAATGTTAATAATGCCAAAGCCATTAAAATTATTCTAGATTTTATCAGAAGTAATGCAATACCCTGTCCATCGGGATGTTTTGTAGGTGTGCGCAATCAATGTCAAACGTTAGAAATGTCAAATTTCACGAGTCCCACAAGCTCTCATGTTGAAACTGAACTGGAAAAGACTAACCAAAATAAAGCTGAGACTCTAAAGTTGTGATGTTTTTATTTTATAAATCATCTAAGATATTGTTTTAATGAAAAGTCATTTTAAAATGTTATGTTTATATTCTCTTTCATGACATAACCACAAACAAAAAAGCATTTCTTGTTAAGGCAAGCATTAATATTACTTTCACTCATAATTAGGATTAGGGATTTTAACTAACACTTAAAACAGCTGCATTTCACAAATGAACCATTAAAAATCTTTAAAAAAAAAAACTTACTGGCTAAAAGTTAATAAATATAACACTTATTAGTTAATTAAATATTCTCCATGTACATTACCATTCAAAAGTTTTTTTATTAATAATACTAATCTAGATTTTATCAGAAGTAATGCAATACCCTGTCCATCGGGATGTTTTGTAGGTGTGCGCAATCAATGTCAAACGTTAGAAATGTCAAATTTCACGAGTCCCACAAGCTCTCATGTTGAAACTGAACTGGAAAAGACTAACCAAAATAAAGCTGAGACTCTAAAGTTGTGATGTTTTTATTTTATAAATCATCTAAGATATTGTTTTAATGAAAAGTCATTTTAAAATGTTATGTTTATATTCTCTTTCATGACATAACCACAAACAAAAAAGCATTTCTTGTTAAGGCAAGCATTAATATTACTTTCACTCATAATTAGGATTAGGGATTTTAACTAACACTTAAAACAGCTGCATTTCACAGATGAACCATTAAAAATCTTTTTAAAAAAAAACTTATTGGCTAAAAGTTAATAAATATAACACTTATTAGTTAATTAAATATTCTCCATGTACATTACCATTCAAAAGTTTTTTTATTAATAATACTAATGTGTGTGTGTGTGTGTGTGTGTAAAGACAGCATTT